AAAAACATAACTACCCAAATGTTAACACAACTCCTAATTAAACATAATAATTTAAATTTAAATAAAGCAAAACAATAAAATAATAGGGGCAAATTGCACTTGTAGTCCCCATACCTTTGATTTCTAGCATCCAAAGTCCCCAACATTTTAAACGTCTATGCCAATGGCCCTTTCCTGACGAAAGCAGCAATTTAACCGTTAAAAGTCCTATATTCTAATAAATGACCATTTTACCCTTATTATGAAGAGGTAGCAGATTCGTTCAAATCTGTCGCTTTAGTCAAAACTAGTAATATTAGTGCTTTTCACAAGCATCTATTAGTTGATTCCACAGCAAAATTTTCAATGTCTCTTTCCTTATAAATGATCTCTTCATGATAATGAAAAACAAGAACACCATACAATCAATTTTACCTCCATTGTCAACGCCGGTGGAGAAAATGATGGGGGTGGTAGATGAGAATGGGTGATGACACAGATTTTTTTTGGACCAAGCTACATGTACTGAATTTTTTTTACCTAATCCCTTACCGGCTACTCACAATAGGGGTGTGGGGACCACATCTTAGGATTTTTTTTATTCACGCGGAGTCCGTGTGCATATGAGAGGGGGTAAACAATTCAGTACATTAAATTATGTACAAGTATTTTTACCCTTTTTTTTATAGCTTTCTCTACAATCTTTTTGCTAATGAACATTGAAGAAAAATCATGGGGAAATCTCCTTGGTTGATCAGGAAAGGAAGGAGAGATGGGGTGGTGGTAGGTGGGTTTGTTCCTTTTCTTTCTTCATTTTTTGTTGTTATTATTATTATTATTATTATTATTCAAACTAAAGGTAAAATAGTCGTTTTACTCAAAATTTGACAATTTAACGGTCATACTGATGGTTTCCAGCACAAAATGACCTTTGACACAGATATTTAAAAGGTTTGAAATTCTAGGTGCAATAAATCAAAAGTTCGGAATTATCGTCATAAGCTTCAAAAGTTTGGGACCCAAGTACAATTTACCCAAACATAAATGCTAAAACGGGTCAATCCTCCACGGGTTTAAATGATGCAACCCCTCAACATTAATTTTTAATATTCCATTAACTTAATTATCATGTTCTATTTTAATTAGATCTTCGTTTATTTTCTGAAGAGATTCAAGTAATGATGTAATTTTTATTAGGTTAGCAATTTGTTTCCTCATATTCCGCTTTAGAGTTTTCCCAAGTTGTTTCGATTTTTTTGAACTAATGAGGTTGTCGATCAAGATAAATTTGTTGATATTTCATGACGAATCAATAAATTTGTGATTCTCAAATTCATGATATTCTTGTAATCAACGTATTGTTTTTTGTTCGCTTTTATTTCACACTTTTGGCTTTATCAACTTGGTATTAAAGCTCGCTCACGTCGTGAGATTTGTAAAGACCTCAATGGTGAAAGTTGTGGAACGTGCACAAATGAGTAGACAATTTTTTTCTGTTGATATATTTTAGAGATCGAACAAATAAATAGATAGATAAAGGTGTTAATAAAACAGATATATAGATCACTAGTCCACTACTAAAAATAAGGCTTTAGCGATGGACGATGGAAAAAATCAATCGCTAAGTCTTGTACTAAAGACGACACAAATTCACCAAAAAATCGATAGAATTTGTTTTTTTATTTTTCATGTTAGCTTCTACTTATTGCTTGAACTATTTTGGCATAATTATGTTATGGGCAAAAGGACTTGTCCATTACTCAATTTCCACTATAATTAAATTTTTAAATAACAAATTTATATTTATATTTATCTTGATTGATTGATTGATATCATAAAGAAACTGAAACAGGAAATCCATTAATTGACTTTGTGATTATTATTTCCACTTGCAAAGTGGAACTTCCCTATTTAGGCAACTAATCTGGGGAAAACAATTTCCTCTTCCCTGTAATAATGATTCATTTAAAAAATTACCCACTTATTTTTGTCTGGTTTTTGGTGGATACCACAAAGAAATTACCTAACAAATTAAAAACAGTGTCACATTCTCTCTCCCCATGCATCCCTCTTTTTCTCTCTATATATAGATGCAAGTCAAATCTATTAGATTAGACACAATATACAGAATCCAGATTTCATCTGCTTCCTTCTGTAAGTAAATTAGATTATAATCTGGTCCTTCTTTCTAGGGTACAAATTATAGAGTAGTTCACCTTCTAAGGGATCTCAAATAAGCATTTCGGGATGTTCTTTCGATTCAATCGCAAAGAACCTAACATCACGAGAAGTCTCGTCCTTCGAGAATTCTGTTAAGTTGTGAAGTCTAATTATTACCATTATGCGGATCAACCTCCTTGGCAACGTCGTCATGGAGTTGGAAGGGGAGTTGTCATAAATCTTGTCTTATAAATAGGTTTTGCCCTAGTTTATCTTATAAATAGGAGTCATCATCATTAGCGTTTTATATTACCATCATTAAAGAGAGAGATTAGCGAAGATAAGATGTGCAATTTTCTTTTGTAGACTTTTTTTTTAATCATAGTGTATTACTTCAGCTACGGAAGAAGTAGTCTCACATTGAGGTCACCGCGGATCTAGGGGGTGGCAGCCAACTTAATTTTTTGATATGTAAAAACATTTTTTGGTTTTTTTTTTCCAAAAACATATTAGCCTAGATTAAAAACTTTTTTAGTTCAGTTCTGGATATGTTCCTAATTGAGATGAACTTTTATAATTCTTCTGTATTCTTTTGTCTGTTTTCGTTCTGCGAAGTGCTAGAATTAGGGTTTTAATTCTCAACAAATTCGGACTGCAGATATGTGACTTTGTCAAATTATTAATGTGGCGTCTGGTTTCATAATTATGACTTCAACATATGTATTTCTTGTTTGTACATACCTGCAGAACTCAAGAAAATGAAACTAGTGGTGTTTCTTTTGGTTTCTGTTATGGTAAGTTCTTGCATGGTGGCTGCTGCTCCTCGCAGAGCTCTGGTTAGCAGCACTAAAATACACAACATGGAACAACAAAATGTCGACGAGCTGCAGGGAATTGCAGTAGAGAAATTGAGTAGGGGTGGCGCGGCGGCAGGACATCGTGATGCCACCGGCAGTATTGACAATCATCACAACATACCCAGACAGTACTACGGCCAGTGGGGTAGCAGTTCTAATGGAGGCGATGGTGGTGATACTCCTAATGACATAAATGGAAGTGACCGATAATTATATATAGAATTAATCTACTTTGCCAGATGTTTTTAACATATTGAATGATAGAATGAGGTGTGATAACAAGTGATTGGATGATAGTGTTGATTATTTTTTAAACGGTCATTGATAAAAGGATAAAGCTGTTTGTACACCAAGTATACATACACTTGTCTCACATGAATAGTGTGCGCACATACTGTATTGTGTGTGGGACCCCCTTCATGCGCGGGGGNGTGTGCGCGAATATTTTATTGTATGGGACCCCCCTCCATGTGAGGGGTATAAAAGATTGTGTGAATGATTATGTACATGTAGCATGATTGTTGATAAAATGACACATGGCATTCTGTCAAAGAATGTGGTAAAATTGTTTGGCAATGTAGCAAGATTGATATACATATATATTGCTTAATCATGTCCTATTATGTATGTTAATTTGTGTAAGTATTTTCCACAAGGATCCCATAAATATTATGTTTTCTACAAGGATCCTATAAATATTATGTTATCGGTGTTATTTTTCTTGCTCATTGTCAAACCTAGCTAGTTCGTGTAATAACGAAAATTTATAACATTTTTAAAACAACTGAATGTGAAATGATAGAAAAATGCTTCCCGACAATATATTAATTTCAATTTTCATTGATGATGCCCTTATTTAGTATATTTTAATAAAAGTTCATGGAATGTGTGGTTGAAAAGTTGTGTGACCAATGAAATATATTGTTAATATTGATTGTTCGACTTTGATTTAGATTAAAATATGATTTTAATCAATACCAAATTAACCGGTATTAATCTTTCTAATTACATTCAACCTTAATCTATTTTTGTTTGTAAGAAGGAAATTGAAATCTCATTTAGCCCTGTTTGATGTGGGTTAAAATTAGATTTTTAATAAAAAATTTTTATAAAAATTGATGAAATGTACAGATAAGAAGTTGTGAATTTCGTGAAATATGTTGTTAAAATTAATTGTTGATTTTAATTTAGATTAAAATATACATGATTAGTGCATTAAGTTGCTTTTTATTTTTATTTGTCTTCCTTTTTTCTTCAGAGACATATATTCAATAAATTATCATTCGTTTTTCTTTCTAAAGATTTCTTTCTTTTCTTTTCTTTTCCTTTCCTTTACAAATACACATTATATATTTATTTATCCTAAATCAACCTCTCACGGCTTTGCAAATCTTTTCTTTTCTCATTTATAATAACTATAATTGTTGATTATTTATAAAATAGATTAGAATACGGTCGAGAAACTTATATTATAATCTTCAGTTTCTTGAAATTTTCTTCTATTTAGCTTTTGATTAATATTTAGCTCAAATTTATGTCGACTCGATTAGTTTATATTGGCTCATCCATTTTATTTTATTTTATTTTATTTTTCGTTGATGAATCATTATGAGTTTTATTTAATTTTTTATCCAATTTTGTAAGGAGATTATGGCTACATCCATGATTCATAGGTTTCTTTTAATATCTCTATATATTATTATTATTATTATTATTATTATTATTATTATTATTATTATTATTATTATTATTATTATTATTATTATTATTATTATTATTTTTTTTTTTATTTATTTATTTTTTTTTGTGGTGGTGGGGAGGGTGAGGTGTTGGGGAAAACCTAAACCTTTTCATCTTTTTCTTGATATTTGATCATTAATAGAACCATTCATGGTTTAACCAAATAAATACTGTGTCACAGGTGTGGAATCTCGACTTGCTAGCCTCACAGTCGATATGGAAGATATGAAGAAAATCTCTGGAATCGCTTCACGTTCAGACCTTCCTTCTTCCTTCCAAGCACAAGAAA